GAACAGAATTATTGTCATCAAATTATATTGATGGTCAATGTTAATATTAGGTATGTCTTCAGGAAAAAAGAGATCAATTACTGAAGATATTACGGTCTTTTTTGGTTAAATACAAATGTTATCAAACATGTGGCAGCCAAAAAAAGTGGTGAAAATGAATTTCAAAGCAAGTTTATTCCCAAGGATTTTTTTAAACATTAGATTATATTCAGTCCAGCAATTTAGTAGTATTTTTAGTCATTAATATTGTAGAACAAATAAATAAATGCCATGCTATCAGCCTTGAAATCTATAGTTTCATAATCATTTTATATCAATCTGCTATAGTTTCCCAATATTCTTCTTACTTAAAAAATAAAATATGGTGGAATTATGCTGCATGAATATTCCAAAAAGAAACATAATTGATTATAGAAGCACTACATTTATATAAATCAGAACACATATCTTTCAAAATAAGCGGATCTTTAATAAGAATTTAAAAAATGAAAAAAAATAATAATTACAAAATTATTTTTGAAATCATAATTATGAACTATGAAGAAATGTAATATCCACTAGGATACTTATAATGAAAACTACTATTGTCAATGTAATATTTTATATGAATGTAAGAGGAGTAGACTGATGAAAAAAGAAAATATAGTGCTTTAGTACAACAAATAAATATGCTATAGAGTTAGCCTATTGTTTACAAAAAGTTAAATATACTTAATGCACACAAGTAATGAGTTTTTAAATTCAAAATTCCAGAAAATTAATTGGATAGTCTGCAATTCATGAAATACAAAAGTAAATTAAAACCACATTAACCTTTAAAGTCTATATCTTCTCTAACTTAAATGAAAAGACTTAAGATCTGCTAGTTTATTACAGATAATTTATTTCTAATACGTTTGAAATTATATTTATTTTAAAATGAAAAATGAAATCTTATAAAATTGTATAAAGTTTTGTTTCATATATTGCAAATGTATCATCTTAACTCTATAATATTTGAAAGGTTCCCAAATTCCCTATGATCACAGCCTTTAAAATTGCCTCACAAAACCGAGATCTAAATCAAACAATTCTTAACTTATGTTACATTTCTGATATGGCTTTCCATCAGGCGTCAGCAATCAGTGGATTCAGCCACAGCAAATTAAACATGATTTATAATTTTTTTTTGAGACATAGTCTTGCTCTGTTCCCCAGGCTGGAGTACAGTGACGCAATTTCAGCTCACTGCCACCTCTGCCTCCAGGGTTCAAGCAATTCTCCTGTCTTAGCCTCCTGAGCAGCTGGGATTACAGGTGCCCACCAAGACATCCGGCTAAATTTTGTATTTTTAGTAGAGACAGGATTTCACTATGTTGGCCAGGCTGATCTCAAACTGCTGACCTCACTATCCACGTTCCTTAGCTTCCAAAAGTGCTGGGATTCAGGTGTGAGTCACTGCGCATGGCTGATTTTATGACATTTTTACAAATAAAAAAATTTCAATTCCTCAATTTTTTGATAAGATGCGTTGGCTTTGTATCACCTGCACCGTTTCGAGGGATGAATGCCATCTCTTATCTCTCAGATGGCTTTGCCTATGTGTCTGTATGTATGATTTCTCCATGACTATTTGATTTGTTTCACCTAGCATTTTTCAGCATAAAAGACCTTCAAACACTGGCTTTTACCCCCTCTACTCATCTTCATAGAAACACTTTCTGAAAGCATTAAATAAATATGAAGTCTAAACTCCCTAACCTCACATACAATTCTCTGCCCATTTGTACCTACTTTCTCTCCCACTCACTTCAGCAAAGCTGCATGTGATAGGGATACTTCACAACTGTTCTTGTTCAGTTTCATTGACCGTTCAGCAACATTTGACATTTTACATCTGTCCTTCTTGAAATACAACCCTCTTTTTGTTTCCAAAATACTATGCTCATGTTCTCCAGTAAGTCTGTGAAGTCTTAGTCTCATGGTGGTGGGTGGAGTGGTCTGGTTCCTTCTTCCCATATAACATTATAGTTCCTTGGGGCTCAGTTCTTAACCCCATTCTATTCTTCAGTAATTCAAGAAATATTCTTTGGAAATCAATGCTGTGCTAGTTACCCTTCTAGGTACTAGCAAACATCAAAGAGTACTACAGACATCAACCCCTCTTCAGAGATTTTAGACATTGCTGAGATGGGTTTATCTTCACTCCTGCTTCAAATACCATTCACCTGTTAACACTGAGAGCATCATGGTGTATGTTTCCAAGCCATGGTTATCTTCTCATTTCTAGACCCACATATCTAGCCAAAAACTTAATACTTCAAATTTCACAAATACCAAATGGATCTGTTGTTTGATCCACATTCTTTTAAATCTTGCTTCTCCTACAAAATTCTTCACCTTTAGAAACGATATCTGCAATGTCCTAAGTGGCCAAAGCAAGAAACCTAAAAATCTTTATTGATTGAAATTCATCTATTGCAAAGGTAGGGTTAGTCTAAACTTATAATGTATCTGGAGTTTTTTTGTTCTTTTATTTTTTCTACTGCTGTTCATCCATCAGTTGCTCTCACCCATATGAGCAAGAATAATCTGTTTATAATACCTATCTCTTCACACAACTTTTCTGCTTTCAATTATTTGTTTTAGAATATGTTTTTCAATTATGTTTTTAGAAGCCCTTGAATTATCTGGTTTGCATTCCCTCTCTGATCTTATCTTCAGTCACACTCTTCCAGGTTCTCTTCCAGACATGCCATTTCCAGTTCCTAGAGCAGATCATGCTCTTTCTTGTCTCAGGGATCCCTTCCATGTAACACATTTTCCTTGGAAAGTTCATTCCTGCACGTTTCCTTTGGAAAATCACTTTCTAAGAAAAATCTCTCTTAGTTGCAGTTATTTCTTAGTATTCTAACTCATGTTGAATATCTGTCTTCCCTACTAGATTGTGAAGATTTTGGGGGACAGGGTTCATTTTTGTACTTTTCACAGATAAATCCTTAGTAGTCACAAAGAAGTATTTGTCATAAAGAAGTACTCCATTCTAGTATTTGTCACAAAGAAGTACTCCAATAAATAATTATGAAATTAATAAATGAATATTTCTTAACATTGCAGAGCCAGAGGAAACTAACTTTAGAGATGAGGAAACAGTTATTTTGACAAGTTATGTGTCAGGAATGAATCTGGGAATATAAACCAGAATTCTCTCCATTTTCTTTCCAGATCTTGCCAACAAGCTCTCAGGACACAAGTTTCTCAAATTGGAACATATATATATATATATATGAAATGAAAAAAATATATTTGAAATGAAATATATATATATTTACATATATAAATAAAAAATATATATTTCCAAATATATACACTAAGTTAAAATATATATTTTTCCAAATATATACACTAAGTTAAAAATTTGGGAGATTGTAGTACACTGTTGCAATATGACTTTGGAGGAGGCTCCGGCTCAGTATGGGAATATGTATAGCATGTTTCTGATATTTGCACGTAATATAATTACTACATACATATACATTCCAACTTTAGAAGTACTTTCTGTTGTTTCAAACATAGAGGGGTAAAGTACATTCAGTCATTCTTATTTAGGTGTGTTATCTTGTAAGGGTAACAGATTTGTCATACAACTAGAAGTATCTGTAACCTCAAACAAATCGTTAAACCTCTTAAAACCGTATTTGTAAAATGAGAATACTTCATTATCCAGGTCAGATTTAATTTAAAAAAAGAGATAACTAATGAAAAAGTGCTTTAAAAATACTAAAGAAGGTCACTAAAATGTAAGATATCCATGTTATTTCCAGAGGCCTTTTACTTCCTAATATTAAACTATAATTTGGTAGAAACTATTAATATTAGCAATACAAAGCACTAATATCAATTACTTGTAAACCTTATAACCAATAGTAATTACGTTTATTAGATAGATTAATTATATAAAACTGATTTCAATTACTAAACAACTGATGTATAACAAAATTATAATATATGAAATTAACATCAATTTGCATTACAAGAGGGTTAAATAACATGACTGAACTAGCTAGATTTATTGCTTTTTCAGTTTCAAAAATATTATATATCAATACTTACACTCTAATATAGTAAGACAAATAAATTTTGGTTTCCTGGATTAATATGCTGCTCTTTTTTCAATATATGTACATAAAAAGAATATGCTATATATACATAAATATCTGTACATGTCTGCATAAAATTAAAATTACAAAAGTAATAACTGAGGAAAAATAAATGTAGAAATATGACCAATGTGGCAACTCATGAATAGAGTAAATACTATTTTGAGTCAGAATAAATTTGTGCATCTTTACCTCTAGACCATTTATCTAAAGAAATGTTTAACATCCCTGTTGTGAACTTTGATATTATTACTAACAGACTAAGATGTAATGATGTAAGCACTGTTACCTATCAACTGTGGAATCTACCAGTGTGTTGCAAAAGCTGATTTATAGTGTTCTCCCATTTTATCAGCCTCTTAAAACTATAGGTATAGGTCTTTATGGATTTATATTTGTGGTTGTTTCTGCCTTTCTTTGTGACCAACTTTATGTTTCCAAAGTCAACTTGCTTGGCCAGTCATAGGTTGGCTCATCATTACCTTTGTCCAAATCTAACAAAAATGGAGCATCAGGCTCCACATGACTCACAAAGAAATTGTCTTATTAGCAAAGCTTTTGCATGGGCTCAACAGACACTTTTCACATTGATTATCATCAGTCACTCTTATTCTCTATATTCTCCTGTTCTTTCTCTCCCCACCACTCCAACTATTAATGGGGTCAAAACATTCAGAAATTAAGCAATACCCTATGGCAAGAGTGATGAGAAACTTTGTGTATCATAGGTTACAATCATAATTATAACATGGAATTTACATTTCACTTTGTTTTCATTAGTAATGAGAAAAATTAATAAGGGTTATAAAAAGATGGTATCGTATTTATGTTGAGTCTAAGACAGAATATAGTTTGGCTTACCTTTAATAATGTTGGGCTTTGGTGGCATGCTGAATTCATAAACAGTAGGTTCAGAATATCCCAATCTATTGGCAGCTGTAATCTGAACTTCATACCCCATGGTCCACTGGAGATGCTCCAAAATGATGTGGTCCTTATTTCCCTGCACTTTTTTCTCTAGCCATTGGTCTTCCTTATCTTTCTGTGGAACCAATAAAAATGCATTTTGTAAATATCCAAACCCTCAAGTTGTACTTTAAAAAAATAATTTATATTGAAATTGGAACTATATATTTATATGGGAAATTGGAACAATTTTCATAGGCTCAGTAATACATGAAGTTGCTATGTCAACGAAGTCAGTATTACTTCCAACATTTTTCTGTATAAAATACAATGTTGTTTATATTAGACAAAATGTGGTTTTGTAATTAATCCTTTATTCAGTGGTTGATAATTCACCCCCATTCAGATTCTTTTTTCACATATACCAGTTTGGTTTTTGGCCATTTGTTGATTATTAATCATTGTGTGAACAGGAAAAATGAAACATGACATACAGAAAAAACTTAATACATTCATTAAAAAACTTGCAAGGGACCATTGTTAGAGTTTGTTGGAGGGAAAAATGATCAAGTGTCTTGAAATAAAGTTTGGATATGATTGATAGATTTATATTATCACTGGCATCTTTTACTACTATGGTGTTTTATGACATAAGAAAATAATATACAAAGCAAATTACTGTTTTAAATAGACCATTAGCATAAGAAAATAAAATAATGCTATCCTATTCTCAAACATTCTACACTTAAATACTATCTCATTCTTTTTTCAAAATAGAAATTATGACCATATTTTTCCTTTATTTGAAAAATTACCATGAGAACTACAGTTACTAATAAAATATAAATTGATGTGATTTAAATTATCTAAACCAATGAGGTTATTGGGCTTTGCCATACATTAACAACATAAACACAGGGAACTTCCTTAACTTTTCTCTTTATAACGGAAGTGATGCTAGCAGCTGCTGCTGTCAGCTTTATGGGAAAGCAATGAGGAAAATTAAGTCAATTGTGTATTCCAGGGCCTTAGAGATCATAACCACACAACAAATATAACAGCTATTTTAGGTTGTAACTGTTTCCATAAAAACTGTATGGAAATGAAATATTTTCTCTGGAATGATGTATCTAATAATCCATCACTGCAACAGCAAATCTCACTTTCCCAGGGTGTAACTATAAATAAATTACAGCTTGTCTATAGCAACAGATGTAGACATGTCTTTTAGCCTCATAGCTCAGCCCTGTATTACTCTATGTTGAGCCAAAATGTTACACTCCTTCTTTGACTGTAAAGTAAGAAATTTTCTCTATTTTTGGTGGCAATTATTTGTCCTCTAAAATAAAATTGTAACAGTTAATTTCATAATTGCATTAAATTGACAGTACTCAAACATGGACGGAGTGTCCTTCAGAAGAAGGCGAGAAGATATTATAATTTTGATGCCATACTATTATTCCCTTTTTCTAGTTAATTATTTTTGTGGTGACACAGAACTTTTATTACTAAAGAAATGAACCTTTTGGTGATGTAGAACTTCCATTACAAAGAAACAGAGAAGTTTGGCCTGTTCTGCTATTTCATGTAAAACTGAAGATACTAGAACCTCTAATGAAGCCTTGGTTTTAAGTAAACAAGCATTAAAAGTTATCAATATAAACAAGATGCACTTGCCTTGATTTTTTAAATTTATGAGTATCTGTTTTTTATAAAATAGCTCTAACCAGTACTACTTAAGGTCTTATGAAGTGTCCGAGCCATGGAAAAACTGAAAACAGGGGTTGTAACTTTTCCAAGTTAATAAATGAACAGGAAGTTTAAGAAACAAATGTAGTTGCAATTTTAAAATGTTTAAGGCAGCTGTGCTAAAAAGCCACAGCTGGCCCGGCTTGGTGGCTGAAGTTTATAATTCCAGCACTCTGGGAGGCTGAGGCAGGCAATCAAGAGGTCAGGAGATCGAGACCATCCTACCTAAAATGGTGAAACTCTGGCTCTACTAAAAATACAAAAAATTAGCTGGGCATGGTGGCACGCACTCCTGTGTCCCAGCTACTCGGGAGGCTGAGTCAGGAGCATTTTTTGAACCCAGGAGGCAGAGGTTGCAGTGAGCCGAGATCATACCACTGCACTCCAGCCTGGGTGACAGAGCCAGACTCCCTCTCAAATAAATAAATAAAAGCCCCAGCTATCACAACACCCTCTGTCTTCACGCACTCATTCATCAATTATTTATGCAGTTAATTGATTAGTGAGGATTTTCTACAGGCATGAACATAATGGTGAACAAGACATGTGCAATACCCTTATTTGGAGTTTACAAACCGCACAGAAGAAAGACATGAGGTTTTTGAAAAATGAGAAGGTGCACTGGAAGCACATAATACCTAATAAGTCCAGGGCTACGTAGGTCACTGGTGGGGAGGTGAGATCACCCTTACTGGAAATAATACATTTGAGCACCATTTCTTTTCATTTGTCCTAACTGAGTTTATGACAAGAAGGTGTCAGATTTTTACAGAAATTTAAATTCAAGAGTAAACACAATGATTTTAAGCCTCAGATGCATAATCACTGGGTGATGTAAAAGTGAACACTATAGATGTTTTAAATAATTTTTTAAAAATTGTGTATATATACATATATAACAAAAATGCTTAAAAAAGTCAACCCAAATCTAATGAATATGAACCTATATACATATAGAATGTATTTTTATAAGTTATAAATTGTATATATACACACACATATGGGAAGGAAGGGGTGTGTGGAAAGGACACTGAAGGGTGATATGAAGACAAGGGCTCCATGAGGCAGCACAAAGCTGCATGTTCCTGTGGCCTCGCCATTATCCATGTTATTCAGTACTTTCTATGTAACTATTAAGTGGTTGATGTGAGTAAATACTTTTGTGGAAATACTTGAAATTCAGTTTTGCTTTGTATCTGAGTGAAGTGTGGGGTAAAAGAGCCAGAAAATAAGAGATCTGAGATCTGAATTACCCCAGCCAAAACTGCATTCTTTAGAGAAATAGATAGATGTCACGTCCTTCAGGTAATCTTTCAAAAACATCATTTTTGAAAATTAGGCATTTAAGGTGAAACTTCTGTACAAACACAAGACAATCTCTTGCGAATTAGCAATCATTTAGCTTTTAATTGTTGAAGTCTTTAATATGATAAATTAAAGGCCCTTCATCATTTTAAGTATTTGAGCTGATAGTATAAGGAAGCAAAGGGAGTTCTAATATTTTCTCAATATAAATCAGTTTCATTTTCCTTTCAACATTAGACAAGGAGGCATTTTAATCCTCTAATTGCTATTCCTAGGGAATAGAAAAAAAATTAAAGTGGGTGTTACCAAATACTCCCCTGCCATCAAAATCTCAAGTATGCATCTGTAGAGTGTCTAATTTGCAAAGTTTAAATGCCTAGGGAACAATTTAAGATAATCTAGTTGCAAAATGTTCCCCTAGGTATCTTAATGAGATAAGTTGAATAGCGTTATTATTAATAAGCCAATTAAATGTTGAAGGGTGGCTACTGAAAAAAAAATGGTCATTTTCCTTTGGTATAGCTTCTCTTATGTAATCTTTTTTAATTTTTTTGTCAGAAAATAGATGGAAAGGCCATATGGCAATTCAGGGCACTTCTTAATAGTGATTCTAAAGTCATACTATCAGCATTTAGGGAAATACTGGCAATCATCTGTACAGGGAGGAGATTCGAGCTAAGGTGTAAGGGTCACTATTTTCTTATTTTCAGGGCTCCTTGATACTTTTATTCATAACAAGAAACAGCTCACTGACTCTTCTTGAGGATCAAGAAATGTATCACCAACATCATTTTCAATATAAACTGAATAATCATAAAATGAGAGGACAATAGAGAAGGTGAGCTCATATAAGCAAGATGAAGTTTAGATTCTTCTGACTCCCATGTTGTATAAGATTTTGTATGTACATAAAGCAGTTCCCGGTTCCTGGATTCCCTGGTAGCATGATTCAGGTATTCACACTTACATGACCTCACAGAAGGCCCAAAATCATATAAAACTAGATTCGTTACTCTGAATATCAGAAAGGTGATTTATAATCTGGATATTATATATACATTATATATATATAATATACACACATGCACACAAATAAGCATATATTAATATATGTGTACATATGTGTGTATGAGTGTGTATAAACACATAGAGAAAAAGTTTACAGAATTCAAGAAGAGTTTACAAATGGGCAAACAAGAACGGGCAAGAGACCTGGCTTGAATAGCATGGCACTGTCAGATTAATGAGAGATCAGTGAGTCCTTCAGAGCTGTCCTGGGTAAAGTCATGAAAGTCTCCATATCAGAGTATCCAAAAGACACAAACAGCTGCTCATCATTGTTAGCATGAACCCTGGGACAAAAAGTTTTCTCCTGAAAACGATATTAATCTTAAATTTAGAATATAGAGTTGTATATGAAATTATATATGTGTGTGTGTGTGTGTGTGTGTGTGTGTGTGTATATACACACACATTTGGAAGATCTATAGGTTTGAAGACTTTAGCAAAGTTCTAAATTTAAATCTCTTTTTTCCGTGATCATGATTGATTCTATTTCTTTGTTCCACATGCTAATGCTTGGTCATTTTTTTGTAAGTTAGGTCCTACATAATCTGTTTTTAGTCTCCACCACCCACATAGTACTTAAGACAAAATAAATCTAATTTTTCCTATTCATTACCTTCTCTGTTCTTACATCTATAAACACTGGCAGTGCATTATTTCTTGTGTTTCTCATTGAGGGTGTTAATTATTCTATTTATAATACTATTTATAATTGCATAACATGAGCTAATTTCTTTATCGGTTTATTGCTGTATTGTTCCTTCAGACTACATATAGTCTATCTATAGAAAGAAGAATAAAACTCACCCTCTTAACTCACAGCAAAGAAAAATTACCAAAAAGCTTGCTACTTTTTAATGTCCATAAGTATTCATTGGTTAAACATGCTTCAAACTTAAACTATACTGACTTTAAATAAATTTCCATGTATACACATAAACATTATTAACTGGAAAATGTTTCCTTAACCAAAACTTGATTTTACTTATTTATTATTTTAATACCCTTTTCAAAATTACTTTTCTTTTCCTATGGCAGTGGAGATAGCAAACAACCTCCTGGTCTCCAAATTGCTTAAGAAGTTCAATTAAGACTTACAAACGCTAGTCCCTATAGTACCTCCTCACAATTGACTTTAAGCTACCAATTATTTTAGCTAAGAAAACGTATTTAATACGCCAACACTAAGTGGTAAGTTATGATCCCATAGCTATCATCAAATTAGAAATAAAATGATGAAAAACTCATGGAAGCATGTAAAAATCTATTTACTAAATTACATGAAGTTAGATTGACACTATAAGTACAAAGTAGAGTAAAAAATAACTTCATGATTTTTTCCAAACATTTCATGAGATTAATATGCTTGTCTTCATTTTCAAAACACACAGTTTAAACTTACTGATTTATTGTTAGATACATTAATTTTCATGAAGAGTCCACAGAGATATCTAATTCTGCTTTTATTACTCTAGTTCTGTTCTAATAAATTCTGTCTTCCTAATGGGTGAGTGAACAAAGCCATGTGCTGTATTACAGGTTGACATAGAATAATGGTGCTTCCTGGTTCCCAATCTACAGGAAGTTTTACACTCTCTATAATAGGATATAGCTATCTTTGTCCTTTCCCAGTGAAACCCTTGCTTAGATTCCATGTCTGCTAGAAATCAAGTCGTATAAGTAATATATGGTCTGAATTACATTATTCTCAGAACATATAGCCCTGTGCACAGTGGAGTTGGAAGAAGTGGCCAAAGAAGAAATCAGGAAGTGAAAATCTTAGAGATGTTCCTTATTTTACAGAGTCCCCTATTAACTTTTTCTTCTTTTTAAATTAAAAACACATTGAATACGTTTAAATCATTTTTCAAGTTGTTCACTTGCACTTTACTCCACTGCAGAATTCTTGTATTTTGAGAAACTAATAGATGAAGTACTTTGAATGTAGAGAGCAGATGATCAAGAACTTTTTTGAAGTAATTATTTCACTTTCTGTTCAATCATGCTATCTCCAATTGTATCTTCAGAGTATTATGTTGACTGGATGGAGGAGGTGGAGAAGAGAAGAGACAACAACAAAATAGAGATACACAGAGAATTTTAACGTATGCAAGCAGAAGGCATACTATCAAGTGATATGATCCAGAGAAACTATGCCAGCATGGCTTATCTGAAGGCACAGGATTTGGGTAGTTGAGGTGAGATGAGATAGTGGTTGAGGGGCTGCTTTTCATCCAGTACTGCTGCAAACCATGCTTAGACTGTTACGAAGTACATTCTGATGTCTGTTCCCTCTCCCCATAAAGTCACTCAAATTCCCTAAGTTTCAGTTTTCCAGGAAAAAATATGAAACAATATCTTTTATTGGATTAATTACAAAATACAGACTTTCCAAGATTGAGCAATGCCTATCTTGTAATACAAAGGGTTAGAGTGTGCCATTACTTTTATAAAATTTGGCATAGGTGCTTAAATTTCTACTATTAAAACAATGTCCCCTGTTAAAATGATAGTAGCTCTAAGACAGATAACTTAGTAATTGATTATCAATTTTAGTTGTGTATGAATAATAATACGTACAATCAATCACTTCCACTGTTATGAAGAGAATCTGTTGATCCTCTTGTACTTCCAGAGTTAGAAAGGGTTGGAAATTAGAAATGAGGGGATAGAGAAAGACATACTTTTATTGGAGTGGTAAGCACAGACATTGGGTAAATGGGAAGAAACTAGGCACTTTTACCATGAAGTGGGAGGGAGAAAAAGAAGGGTGACAAAATGGAAGGTGTAAGTTTACTGAAGACAGAACCTGTTCTTATTTAAACCTTAAGACTAAGCCATATCAAGTACACTTTACCAACTATGTACAAAGGTAAAATTTATTGCGTGCCATTAAACGAACTTGTGTCTCTTAAATCTCACTAATCTCATTATGCTTAAAATCTTGCTTATTTGTATCCATCTGCTTTTCAAACATAAATTTTCAAAGAAGATTAATTCTAATCCACACTTTAAAAAATGAAAATGAGATTGCTGGGTCAAATGGAATTTCTATTTCTAAGGCCTTGAGGAATCGCCACACTGTCTTCCACAATGGTTGAACTAATTTACACTCCCACCAACAGTGTAAAAGTGTTCCTTTTTCTCCACATCCTCTCCAGCATCTGTTGTCTCCAGATTTTTTAATGATCGCCATTCTAACTGGCGTGAGATGGTATCTCAATGTGGTTTTGATTTGCATCTCTCTGATGACCAGTGACGATGAGCATTTTTTCATATGATTGTTGGCCTCATATATGTCTTCTTTCGTAAAGTATCTGTTCATATCCTTTGCCCACTTTTGAATGGGCTTGTTTGTTTTTTTCCTATAAATCTGTTTGAGTTCTTTGTAAATTCTGGATTCTACTATAAGGACACATGTACACGAATGTTCATTGCAGCACTGTTTACAATAGCAAAGACCTGGAATCAACCCAAATGCCCATTGATAATAGACTGGATTGGAAAAATGTGGCACATATACACCATGGAATATTATGCAGCAATCAGAAATGATGAGTTTGTGTCGTTTGTAGGGGCATGGATGAATCTGGAAAACATCATCCTCAGCAAACTGACACAAGAACAGAAAATGAAACACCGCATATCCTCACTCATAGGTGGGTGATGAAAAATGAGAACACATGGACACAGAAAGGGGAGTACTAAACACTGGGGTCTATTGGGGGGAAAAGGGGAGGGCCAGTGGGAGGGGGAGGTGGGGAGGGATAGCCTGGGGAGAAATGCCAAATGTGGGTGAAGGGGAGAAGAAAAGCAAAGCACACTGCCACGTGTGTACCTACGCAACTGTCTTGCATGCTCTGCTCATGTACCCCAAAACCTAAAATCCAATAAAAAATTAAAAAAAAAAACAGTAAGAAAAAAAAATAATAAAAAATAAAAAAAATGAAAATGAATTTGAAGTCAGATTTTTAAAATACTAATTTATGTTTTAAACTATGTATATATATGTGTGTGTGTATGTGTACATACATATATATATATATAAACATATGCCTGTCAAAAATGTTATTATTTTCTTTTTGTAACTCTAATTTGCTCTAAATAGATGCAGTGTTACTCAAGGAATATTTTTGTTTTCATCAATGACTGGGACCACTACTGGCAATACAGTACAAATAGAATATACAAAAATAATTTCACAGCTACTCATTGCATTTTAGAGTCCACTGTGAAACTTTATTATATTATGATTCCTTATAAGCTGTTACTATCACCCAGTATTTTGTACCATAAATTTTTCATCCTACAATTATGAGCAACAATCTGCATGGAGAGCCTGTTCTACCAGTCCAGCACCAAGCCTATGTCCCTAGAAAAGATTATCTCTCTTCTACTGAGTTTACAAATGGGCAAATGAGAGTGGCCAAGAGATCTCACTTGAGTATGAAAACTGGGACAAAAAGTTGTCCTCTGAAAGGAATATTAATCTTAAATTTAAAATAATGATAGATATCTAAAATTACTTATTAAACTATGCCAATCAAAATCTAGTTTTCTTTTTTATTATCCCTCAGAGAGTAGATATTTGAATTTAGAAGCAGCAATATTACAATTTAGAAAATTGGGGATTTGTGAAAAAATATTGAAAATTAAATCATATATTATTAAGGAGTAATTATTTTAAACACTAGCTGCTAAAATATAATTATTTGGATAGAACTGATATGCATTCAGTCAACACAGCAAAAAATTCATGTTGTATGAATCTTATAAAATTGTGTTTCTTTTTTTAACATATTTTACAGTAGACACCAAAACTCCAAGGTCCTTATAAAAAAAATTGAAGAAATTATTTTCAGTGGCCTTTGAAATCATCTTTACTGAAAGCAAAAAGGCAGTGTCCATAGTGCCACTTTATCACTCTGCAGCTAGTGAACACTGTTTACCCCCAACCACTGTCAAAAATCCCTGTGCAGCTTTTAGCTGTTCAAACTTCCTTACTAGCCAGTGCTAATTAAACTTGAAGAAAATGATTCCCTCTTCCACAAGTTCACTGTGGACATTCTTTGATAAATGTTCTGAATAAATAAATCTAAGTATTTGATTATTCTGAGGTGTGATTTTTCTAATAATCCTTCCTACCACATGATTGGCAGGCAGACCTAGCCTGAAGTTGCTAATATCAAGTGGACTGAGAAACTTGTCAGCAAGACAGGGGAAATCATATCTGACTTCTGAAATGTTCACTAGTCCCATTTCACACCTGAAAATCACAAGATGAAAGCCATGAGAAGATTTTGATGATCCATGCTTAGATTTTACAAAAAAACAAAAAGAAAGAAAAAATCACAATGATGAAGGTCATGAATGGAAGGAAAATTAGCATTTATTATCACAAATACAAAATGTGCATTCTCTCCTGATCTGTTTATAAGTTCAATGCAACTCATTTTAATTTGAAAAAACCTAGTATGATACCATAATAAACAATGTACTTACACTTCTGTATTTCACAATGTATTCCAAAATAGGGGCCCCTCCATCATCCTGTTTGGTGATGCTGAGTTTAAAGCTCTTCCCGCTGCTTGGCTGTCCATGTATGGATGGAGGACTTGGTTCACCTAGATATGCAACACAACATTCCTTCAATGACACACATTTCAGATACCTAGAGAAACTGTATTTTAATACAAAGAACAGTAATATAATCAACATATATGGTATTATCCTGGATTTCCCATTTGATGTTGCTCTTTTGTGATATAATTTCTGATCCTCATTTTCCCTATCCAAGAAGCAGCAACATACATCAATCTAGAAGTGTCATGTTAAAGCTATAGCCTCAAGACCAAATACACTATTTTCACTGACATGCAAATGCTCTGAAAAAAGTACAGCGTTGCACAAATGTAAAACTTTATTTTTCTTATTATTAATAGTATAAAATCCTTTTTATTTTCTTAATGTAACTTTAGTTTGTAAATGTTTTGTAAGCATTTATTAATATCAATCTGTGTGGAATATATTATATATATATATCACACAGATTGATATTAAAGCAGGTATATATATAATCTTTACTAGTGTATATATATACTAGTAAAGATAATGACTTGCAATTAGTTATCTGCTTTAATAAGCATTTTCTTTCCTAGATGCACATTTAAATAAATTTGACAGTATCCAATTTTATAGACCTGTGTTTCAATATTTTATTTTCTTCTAGGTTCATAGTATACTTTGCTTTTATATTATTCTTCAACATAGAGATGGCTATATAACAATGAATCTTATATTGTTTTGAATAGAACAGGGATAAACCAAAGTACAAGAATTTTCTATGTGAAGGGATACCACCACTGCCTTGTGATGTGGATGGGAGCTCCCTGCCATGTGTCACTGATGTGATGTGCTTGGGCATCCACTGACATTTGCCTGCTTCTGTTTCATCCAATTCTCTATGGGTATGGATATAGACATGGATATGCATATGCATATAGATAATATGGTAAAGCTAAGGTTCTCTCCAGAAGCTTTAGTTTGCATCTTCCAAAAAAACTGTAAACGCTATCGACTCTGTTTTTCTTTGCCAAGAAAAACAAAGGCAGTTGACTGAAAGGATTTCATATCTCTAAATCTGAAGAACCCGTTTTTCTTCTCAGCAGGTTATTGTCATTCCTTTTTTTCATATTTCTTTTCTTTCTTTATTCTTTCGTGAGACAGGATCTCACTCTGTTGCTCAGGCTAGAGTTCTATGGTGTGATCATGGCTCACGGCAGCCTTGAACTCCCAGACTCAGGTGATCTTCCCACCTCAGCCTCCCAAGTAGCTGCAAGTGTATGCTACCACATCTAGCTGATTTGTTTTTTAGATTTTTTGTACAGACTGGGTTTTACTATGTTGCCAGGCTGGTCTTGAACTTCTTAGTTCAAGTGATCTGCCTGCCTCAGCCTTCCAAAATGCTGCGATTACAGGTGTAAGCCGTGTTTGGCTGGTTATCTTTATTTCTAATATAATGCTTACAACCTTAAATAAGTGAATAGTTTGTTTCAGGAAAGTCAAGTCATTAAAGAAATATAATTGATGTGTAGGCATGTCAATAGATAATAAAGTAGCCCCATATTTTACAGATATAGAGAGACAGTGGATAGAGAGTTTGTAAAGTCATTCTGCATTAAACTTAACTAAACCGGCATGCAGATATTATTACCTGATCTATATGCAACAAAATAAATCTTGGTGAGTAAGTTAAAAGTACTATTTAAATCAATATAAGATTTTTCATAACTAATAAGTGATTATGAGGTAATTAAAAAGTTATGGAGTGAATGTTATAGCTTAAATGGTTTAGTATTATTTCTAACTGGAACTTAGAATATGCATGATATAAAGCATAAATTTATTTAATAATTTTATTATGACTAAATTATTTTAATATTAGCATTTTGAGAATTATGAAGCAGAAATATATTTTCAGTAGCAAATGATTTACAAATATATTTAAAATGTTTATGCATACACTTAACTTTTTTCATATATCAAATCTGTGATCTATTACAAGTGATATTTTGAAAAAGTAGCTAAGAACAAATGTATATTCAAGCAGAGAGAAATAAAACTAGTGGTTTCTATCCACAATTATAAAATAATGCTTATGTAAGAGTATAAATAACAATCAATAATTAATCATATATAGCTTTGGCATACTAAATACTTTGCATATAAGATCTTATTTGAACTTGGAAACAATCCTGAGAAGAAGCTAAAATGAATAGTTACTATATTAATCTCAAGTTACCTTCAAACTGCTTCTGTGTAAGGTAAAGACTGGCAAGTCAAGGACAGTATACTAAGAGAATAGAAGTGTTATAATTTAAGGGCAGGTGCAGTGGCTCCTGCCTGTAGTCCCAGCTTCTGGAGAGGCCAAGGCAGGAGAATCACTTGAACCCAGGAGGCAGAAGTTGCAGTGAGGGGAGATCATGCCACTGCACTTCAGCCTGGGCAACAGAGTGAGATTCTGCCTCAAAAAGGAGAAAAAAAGTTTTATAATTTAAAAGGGAGAGACAAAAAGAAAGAGTAAGAGAGTGTTGACTTTTGGTTGAAATGCTTAGAGAGGTGTTTTATAAACTAGTGAAGGAAGTTTCCAGTGCCTAAATGTAGGAGGAAGTAAAGTTAGAAGGGAGATCAAGAGTCATGGTCATGATTATGGGGATCTGTAGGAATCAAAAACAGAGGGATTAACACAGAATTGTTGTGGGGGGAAAGGATAACAAAAAAAATTACTAAACTACAGTTTTACCTTCCAAAGCAATGAACTCTGCTGTAGTTGGTAAAGGAAATGTGAAAAACAGCAGGCAGGCAAAAGCTGGACTTGAAGGAATCTGGGAAGGTGATGAGTGCTATGGTTGAGAATTTTAAGCCTAGAAGGGATAGATCTCCATTTGAATTTCCATAGTCACTCAAGAAAAATGTAAGGCCAGGCGCGGGTACATAATACCTATATTCTGTATGTGTTTCAAGTAGAAGTACTCTAGGTAGATTATTTCCATAGTATTTAATAGAATCATGGAATTTAATATGTAGATTGGCTTCTAATATGAGGTGTTTGGAAACTGGGGTAGAGGAAGACTAGAATGAAGGTAGAATTATAAATCAAGACATACTTAGAGTCATCTTGTTGAAAAAATTGCAAGGGGCTAACAAAGACGCTGGCACTGGGCATGAAGAAAAGAAACTCATCTGACAGATTTTTTTGATAACCAACAGAGAGCGACTGGTCACAATCTAGAGTAAAACAATTTATTGCAGCCATTTTCACTATCCTAACATATATACATAACAGGCAGTTTTATGCATAGATTCATAACAACATTGGTTCAGTCATAGTTATTAAGTTTTCTCACATTTTAAAGTAATTTATTCAACATAAAGGAAATGTTAGGTCTTCTAAAATTTAATCTTCACTTCATGTAAACTCAATTGACTTACAATCCCTCAAGACATGATAGTTACCAGAACAAGGCTACAATCCTTATTCATCTGCAGTCATTCTGGTAATGAATTAACCTCATGATTCTTTTTTTGACACTTAGAGCCACATAATTTGTGGAATAAGGTCAATAGTCATACCTCAACAAAAGAACAAAATATTGGACATGTTACGTAGGCATTTTCCTTCTTTCTCCCAGAATATAGTCTGAACACTACAATCCAATTAATTAGACTGTAAGTAAGAAGGACATTTTGCCATGAGGACAATTTCCCAGGAACAATTTTTACTGTGTGTATTCTAGTGCACTTTTTTTTTTGCCTTGCTTTAAAGCCAAGTTATTTTTATATTAATAAATCTGAGATGTCACTGTCTTCAGAAACCACTTCACTGAAGATATAATTCATGTCCCAAAAGTGTTGAAACATCTCCCTACGTTTTGAAATCTATTAAATTTGCAAGTGAAGAGAATGGCAAAAGAGGATTAAAAAATAGAGATGATTACTTACGAACTGGTAATGTTTGGAAGATTTCTATTTTACTATAGTCTCCTTGCCCCTTTCCATTTACAGCTGCAACCCTGATTTCATAAGTTGTATTTGGTTCCAGATTGCTCAAAATAACCATTGCTAGAAGAAAAAAGAAAAATATATATGTATACCTACATTTGATGCATTTTAATAAGAAAAACAAATCAAACTATTACAATTCTGAGTGAACAATTTCACTGAAAGCTTTCTAGGAAATACCTAAAATATAGATAACTCATTTAAGAAGAAAATGATTTTTGAATAGTTCTTTTCTTCACTTCTATTTTAGCTTTCCAACCTATGCACTTTCAAAGGAAATTACCCATTTCATTTGTGATAGTTCACAATGTAGAAAGTTAAATCTTGTTAATGTTCAAAAAACAAGAATGATGTTAATATTGTTACAATACATATATTCCGTATGTGTCTCAAGTAGAAGTACTCTAGATAGGTTATTTCTACACTCAGTATTTAATAAAAACATGAAATTTAATATGTAGATTGGCTTCCAATGTAAGGTGATTTAGTCATGTAAAACAAGTGTGACAAAGTTGAAACTACAACAAAAATAGTTTATTCTACAATTTCAAATCAAATAAAATTGTTTTAATTCTAGTTTAAAGCATTCTTCTAACTTGTATTTCACTCTGAGTTCCTTCTCATGTACATACTCCGCCAGACTTGGATTCAATAAGACACTAAAGAAGAAGAAGAATGTGAAATGGCATAGGGAAATAAAGGTTATGAGAAATATCTGGGTCATGTCAAACCTTGTTATTTGACCCTTGATAATCTCGAATGCCATTACAGAATTCAAAATAGTACATCTTCATAAATTCACCTGATGGAGCTATCAGAATTTTATTGTTGCCACTTTATTTAACTACTTTTCCTAAACAAAGCAAAAACTTAGCTAGTGGAAATAGCCATGTCTTGATATAAATCAAAAAGAAGTTAGGTCTGGTTTATACAGTAACTCCAAGTAACATAATCAATTAATATTAGGAGATATAAAAGATTAACTTATATGTAATTAAGATCATCTTTGCAGAGCTATAGTTTTACATAAACCATGACCAGAAATGATACGCATGTAATAATATTGTAATATAATTTATTAATGTGTTATTTCTAATAATTCCATTACAATTCACTAAATAACATTTTCTCTGTATTATATGAGGCTATTTAAGGAATTTATTGTGATACTTCTTTATGTTCCATTCTTTTTCTCAATATTTGTAATCATGGTATTAATTTAGCATTTTGTTTGTTTTTCTATAAAGATGGTGTCTCACTATGATGCCCAGGCTGGTGTTGAACTGCTGCGCTCAAGCAAACTGCCCATCTCAGCATCCCAAAGTCCTGAGATTACAAGAGTGAGCCACTATGCCTGGGGTAGCATTTTGTATTGTAATCATTTAATCTGTATTGAATTACCTTTCACATTCTAGAAAAGAAAAAAATACATTATTGAATGCACCGTAGAGTTTTTTTGTGTGTCCAAAATTAAAAGTAAAATATATATATATATATATACATATAAATTACTTAATACCAGATAAATACTAATGGCCAAAACATGCATATCAATCAGACATTTCCAATCAGCAAAATTTAAATTGATATTTCTCAATTTCTCAACTTTATAAGAAAACTGAACTTGTTCTTTACAGTGTACTGCCTTGTTGAAGCCTCAGATTATAATACATGATTTCAGATTTAAGGGAAGCCAATTGGGAACAGATTGATTGGCACAGAAATCCAACCGATTAGAGGCTGTAAGTATAAATGGGAAAGCCAAGGCTTGAATTCAATGATTTCTGACAGGGTAATGACCTGCAAGCTTTGCAGGAAACAGAAACCCACTTGAGAGTTGGTAGTTAATGAGTATATAATTTCAGCCCCAGAAAAGAATATAGTTAGACTGAAGAGAAGCTGAGTGCACAGAGTTGTTTATATAGATTATGGAATGAGAAGGGGAAATTTAACCAGGGTTGCTAAAATGCTAATAAGTTGGAATTTCCCTGTCTTTAAGATAAAATGCCTTTGTTTAAAGTCAGCATAATGAATTTGTTTTGATACTTCCTTTTGCTTCAATCTTTTCTTCAATGTTCACAGTCAAGGCATTTATTTAGCATTTTGCTTACCTGTAATAGAGATGGGGTTTCACTATGTTGCTCAGGCTGGTTTTAAATTCCTTTCACCAGAGTTTAAAAATCACAATATTTTATAAATTTAATCAGATAAATATTTTTAAAAGGAAGAGCAAAGGCGAACTAGACTCACATGACCCCATGCTATCTCTAGTCATGCTTCACTAGGGTAAAGAAGAGTGCAATAGAACATAGGCTGCTCCGTAACATCATAATGACTGTCCAAAGGCCTAACATGTTTTGCATTAAGTCTTGAGTAATAAATAGCCTTTTATAAAACAGCCAACTATGATATATGGCATGCCTTTCCATATTTCTGTGATATCAAGGTGCAGCTGCGGCCATCATTTTAAGAGCATTCAGTAGTCTGTGACTTGGCTGCACTGGTGATGGCATCTGGTAATGCTTATATTCAATTGTACTTCTTAATACAATGCAAAAAGCAAATAATTTAAATATGCACTTTCAATTGCTAATAAAATCCTACATAAACCAGAAGTGTAGAGATCATTATTCTATATATGATTTCATCTTTGTAGGTTAAACGTTGATACAATAGAGCTACCAAAGTGCCAGTATCTAATGAGAGAAAAACTGAAGTTATTACTTAGGTTTAACCGTAAAGACAATACCCACCCACCCTGGCAAATAAAGCAAGTGAGGATCATGTTTGAATTATCTGCATATTTCAGGCAAAAGCTCTTTCTGGCTTGGACTGTCAGTCATTCTCTTACTTTAATATCTTTCAGGAGCTTTGCATGCCCCACTACATCTGCCAAGGGTAAATATTTCCTTAGTTACACTGTATCAACTCAGAATGGAATTTCCCTGTGTCATCACATTTTTCAGTTCTCCGGGTCAAGGCTTACCCATGTACTGACTGAGTTTCACATCAGAACAGTTGGCAGAGGAAAGGAGTAAAGAGGGCATAGAGATGGCTAAACTTCTATTACAGTGCTGGGCTAAAACACTCAAAGTGAAACGCCAAAGAGAGGTTTTGTAGACAAACTTTAAAATTACAGGGAAGAGGCATAAAATAAACCCATTGATGTAAGTTTTACAAAGCTTATATACAAGAAATCAGTTTGAGTTCTGAATATAGGTTTTGATACAATAACCCTTATGAGGCTTATTAACACTGTGTGAGTGTGAAGATTATTGCATGAAATAGAAAGAACTCCAAACACTGAGACTACATTAAAGTGAGAGAGGGGAAAAGATTTGGAAGAGGCAAATTCTGGATCTGTAATTTGACTTGCCTTTCTTAAATGAGAGGATACATACATGAAATCATCTGTAATTTACTGGCATTTTCCAAACATAGCGTTTCTGAACACGCAAGGTAGGGACTAAAATACCACTTGAAAAATGAAAGGCTATGTATTTGATGAATGAGTTCTGCCACAAACTATGGTGTTAGTTAATGTAAGACTTTCTTTCCCTATATCTGCATAAACAAATAGAACAACAGCACCTCAAACTGAAGTGTGGGATGGGTTATTGACTTATAATTTATTAGAAGTTCAAACTCCAGAATTAGGAGAAAGCAGATCTCTATTACAAACTAGCAAAAGCTTTTAAGAACAAATGTATAAATTAAAGTACTTTATAGCTATGTTTAGTCAGCATGATTTACACATCTTAACACAGTTCTTCCAAAAATTATAAACAAGCATGAATTTTTCTTTGACATGGCAACAAAAATGAGTTCTCTATAGAATCTGGTTTTCCTCTCTAATTTAATATTTCTAAATCATTTATATATAATTGAGTTTTAGAAATAACTCTTTACCACCTGTCTGTAAAGGCAAAAAGGACAAAAAAGTCAAGATACATTAAAACAACAACATTTTACTGGCAAACGACAGAAAAATACAAACCTTTTTACATTTTTTATAAGTTTGGAAATGATCACAGTAGAGAGAAAAATTTGAATTTGAAAGTTTATTCTCCTTTTATTATAGAATCAGACTTTATTGAAGGGATTGACACAAAATAATTATTTGTTTCTTTAATGTATTATAAATTCCTTCCTGTTGGCTGTCAAGAGAAGCAGAGGCTATAGAATAATTACAACACTTGCAAGAACAACATCAACTAAATATATATTTGGAAACTGATTAATCTGACCAAATTCTAAAGTAAGATTAAATTTATTCATGTTCTGTTTCCTTTCTCAGTCCCTGGACCTCTCCATGGGGTTTTTGTCCTATTCAAAGTACGTAAACAGAGTCTCCCAACTGCTTTATCACCTAACCCAAACGGAACTGTTTAAGTTGTCAAGTACTGTGCAGCAATTCAGAGAGCAGTGAGAAACCACGAAGCTCAGCTAGGGTAGAACTGATCATTCAAAGTAACACTTGGTGTTAATCTCCTGAGATAGATCTGAAAACACAGTGTAGTTCCCCAAGTTTGTTTCTTAAGACAGCTAATTTTGTCTGTAAACAATTAAAAGAAGCCAAAGCAGGTCTGTTTTTGAGAGAATTATCTTAAGTACTTCTGCAGGAGTTAGCAACAGGCAAAATACAAGTAAATTTTTACTGTTTCTAAACACAGAATAGAAATTTTAATACCTTGATGATAGCTTCACACATAAAAATGACTTCAGAGATAATTTCATTAGTAATGGAATTGTCTTTAAATTTTCTTAAGAAGCTTATGTATGTAATCATCTCAGTTCCATTATGTTTTCATTTACTTCTAAAATTTACATTTGCATTTTTGCACAAATTATGTTGCATTTGAAGTTCCCATTACTTGAATAATATTAATAACATAATCTTAGTTTTTTTTAACAGTACTTTAAATATTTTAGGACTCATACTATAACCTGTATGCATATACGTTTGGGTATAAATAGCTTTCATGGATAGATTCTTGGTAAGAGAACATTTATATGGATACGTATTTTGATGAACTGTGGAAAGAAAAATAATCTAATAA